TATACGAACAAATTTAAATCAATAACTAAGGAATAATAAATTATTCATTAATATTATTAATTTTTTCTAAAATCAATGGTTTTTGGTTTAAACATTTTAAATTTCATTCTTCTTGTCATAAGTCAGAGCAAACAAAAAATAATAAATTTACATTCACTTTCTTTATGATAATCATGAAACAACAACTAAAAATACACATCATTAAAACCAGTGGCTACCAGCCATAGCAATAAATAATAATAAATACAATAACAAGACTCCCCCCCCCCCCCTTCGCCACAAGCCATTCAATAGAAAACGAAACTTTTTCTTGTAAAACAATTTTTGTTAAACAATAATAAAAATAACAACAATAACTTTGATCGTTAACAGAGATCAATGGCTGGACAGACAGACTAGTTGTAGTGTTAACAATAAATAAGTAATATATAATTTTTTTCCAAAACAATTTATAAACAATGGCCAAAAGAAGAAGCAGCTACACCAGCTGGTTAAACAAAGTACCTGAATCTGGGCAGGCATTTATTTCTTTCGAATAAATTTTAAGTTCGAAATTATTATTCAAAAAACATAATGAACTATAAATCGTATTCCCGCCCGTACGCCCGCCAACCAACTGACAAGGCATATATGCCTGAGAGCATACACTTACACTCACAAAAAATAATTAGTCAAAATGAAAATTTACAAACAAACAAAATATGAAAGCGTAAAACTTAACAACTATTACAAAATTGAAAACAGCATACAAACATACGTCAATGGCCATTAAATAATTAGTAAGAAAACAATTAAATTATACAATCATAATCTAGATGATATATAATACAGTGGGGAACAAAAAAATTCACAAATATACAACTAAAAAAATACGAAGACATTTTTTGGTGAATATTTTAATATTTTGCCAAAATCTCAAACCAAAATCAAATTTTTGTGTATTTATGTTAATGAAAACTTTATTCTACATAGAATTTCAATATAGGTCTTGGAACACGAGAAACTGGTAGCTATAATATTTATCGACAGAATTGAAGTAGCATTTTAGGCGCACACTCCAAAAAAAATCTTTTTTATGGTTATTTGGAAATTTTGCCAAAATCTTCCGCAATATGGCAGTTTTTGGGGTTGATATCAATGAAAACTATATTCCTCATCAAATTTCACTATAGGTCTCAGAACACGAGGAATCGGTAGCTATAATACATAACACCAAAATTAAGGTAGCATTTTAGGCGGTCAGACTAAAAAAGTTTTTTGGGTTAATTTTGAATTTTTGCCAAAATCTCCCTGAATACTTACTTTTTGAGGATTGATGTCAGTGAAAACTATAATCTACGTCGAATTTCACTATAGATCTCAGAACACAAGAAATCGGTAGCCATAATATATATCACACAAATTGAGGTAGCATTTAGGGCGTTCACACCAGAAAACTATTTTTAAGGATATTTGGAATTTTGCCGAAATCTCCCACAAAACCTCATTTAGGGTGATTGATGTCAATGAAAACTATAATCAACATCGAATTTCACTATAGGTCTCAGAACACAAGAACTCGGTAGGTGTAACATATAACACAAAAATCAAGGTAGCATTTTCGGCGCTCAGACTAAAAAAATGTTTTTTGGGCGTAATTTTGAGTTTTTGACAAAATCTCCCTGAATACTTACTTTTTGAGGATTGATGTCAGTGAAAACTATAATCTACATCGAATTTCACTATAGGTCTCAGAACACAAGAAATCGGTAGCTATAATATGTGCCATCAAAATTGAGGTAGCATTTTAGGCGTTCATACTAAAAACTGCTTTTGTGGTGTAAATTTGAATTTTTACCAAAATCTCCCCGAATACTTACTTTTTGAGGATTGATGTCAATGAAAACTGTATTCTATATCGAATTTCACTATAGGTCTCAGAACACAAAAAATCGGTAGCTATAATATGTGCCATCAAAATTGAGGTAGCATTTCAGGCGTTCATACTAAAAACTGCTTTTGTGGTGTAAATTTGAATTTTTGCCAAAATCTCCCTGAATACTTACTTTTTGAGAATTGATGTCAATGAACTCTGTATTCTACATCGAATTTCACTATAGGTCTCAGAACACAAGAAATCGGTAGGTGTAACATATAACACCAAAATTAAGGTAGCATTTTAGGCGGTCAGACTAAAAAATGTTTTTTGGGCTATAAAATATAACAATCAAATTGTGTGCTGCATACATTTATGTGTAGCAATTTAGGCGCTCTCACAAAAAAAAAACTTTTTTGAGGTTATTTGGAACTTTTGTCAAAATCTCTACCAAAACCTCATTTTTGGATATTAATGTAAGTGGAAACTATATTCTGCATCGAATTTCACTATATGTCTCAGAACACAAGAAATCGGTAGGTGTAATATATAACCTCAAAATCGAGGTAGTATTTGAGGTGTCCAAACCAAAAAATAAGTTTTCATTTTATAAATACATTTTGTAGTAATTTTTTTATTCATCTTAATTATTTAATTACTTCATATCCATATTGACTACAAAATCATAAAACCCTTACTTGTCCCCTCCCCCACCTATTACCATAATATGATAATACCAGACAATTTATTGGCTCAACTGTTATTAACTGTCATTAATTTGAAATGTTAAACAAAAGCCCCCACCTCTCTTTTAACTTATTAACAAGATAGTCAAAGCAATTTAAATTTGTAAGCTCCTTCCCCCCTGTCCCGCATAAAAATATAAAACAAAAACAACAAAGAGAAATATATCATACAAATATTTGCTAATAAATAAAATTAAAATTGAAAAATTGGCACAGGTAGTCAATTAACGAAGTGAGATGTTGTTTAATCAAATGTGTGTGTGTGTGTTCGGCGAAGTCTGATGAAGATGATGACAATTTGCAATGGTTTTGAGTAGCTAGTCATTCGAGCATATTAAATTTTGTGCAAAAAAATTGATTTGTTAATAAACAAAAACAATATTTTATTTAACAATTAGCCTTTAATATGTCGATTATTATGGTTCTGCTAATTTAAATGTTTAATATTTGAGGGGTAAATAATGTGTGGGAATTTTTGTCGGCATATTTTTAACCGCACTAGAAATTTGAAAATAAATACTACATCGAATTTCACTATCGGTCTCGGAAAAATGAAATCGATATCTATAATAGAGGTAGCTTTTTAGGCGCCATAGCCAAAAAAAAATTATATATTTTTGGGTAATTTTAAATTTGACCCGAAATCTCCAACAAATTGTCATTTTTGGAAGTTGGTGTCAATGAAAACTATATTCTACAACGTATTTCACTATGGGCCTCGGAATTTCTAATTTCACTATGGGTCTTCAAACATAAGAAATCGGTATCTATAATAAATCTCATAAAATTCGAGGTAGTATTTAGGCGTTTAAAGCAAAAAAATGTTTTTCGACATATTTATGTATTCAGGCCAAAATCTCTCTTAATATTTAATTTTTGGGCATTGAAGCCAATGGGAATTATGTTCTACATCGAATTTCACAATAGATCTCGGACCACAAGATCTTGATAGCTCTGGCCGATATCATTAAAATTTGGCAATCATGTTAGACGTTATGACCAAAAAAATTATATTTTAAAATAAATTTGAGTTATTGCCAAAATCTTCCTTAATACTTCGGTTTTGGATTTTGGTGCCAATGAAAACTATATTCTACATCGAATTTCACTATGGGTCTCCGAACATTGAAAATCTGTAACCGTAATATATACCATTAAAATTGAGACAGTAGTTTGGTTGCCCAAAGCAAAAAAAAATAGATTTTGGGTAATTTCGATTTTTTGCCAAAATCTCCCTCAATACTTGGCTCTAGGGTGTTGGTCTTAATTCAAACTATATTCTACATCGAATTTCAATATGGATCTTCAAAAACAAGAAATCTGTAGCCATAATATATATCCTAAAAATTGAGGTAGCATTATAGGCGTTCAAACAAAAATAACCTTTTTGGGGATAATTTTGATTTTTTACCGCAATCTCCCAAATTCCGAATTTTTTTGGTGTTGCTGTCAATGAAAACTATGTTCTACATCGAATTTCACTATGGGTCTTGGAACATTGGAAACCGATAGCTCTAATAAATATCATTAAAATTGAAGTAGCATTTTAGGCTCTCAAACCAAAAATTGGGGTTTTCTAAGTAATATTGGTTTTTTGCCAAAATCTCCCATCTCGCCTATTTGTAGGTTAGTGTTAATGAAAACTATATTCTATATCGAATTTCACTATGGATCTCCAAACACAAGAAATCGGTAGCCATAATATATATCATAAAAATTGGTGTAGCAAATTAGGCGCCTATGCCGTAAAAAAAAAAATATTTTTGGGGTAATTTTGAATTTTTAGCCAAAATCTCTGAAAATTCCGCATTTTTAGGGACTGTTGCCAATGAAAACTATGTTCTATATAAAATTTCACTATAAGTCTCTGACCACAAAAAAAACTCTAGCTATGATCAATAACAAGTTATTTACATAAATAAAAAATATTTGTTCTCAATTCACTGATTTCCCTTTCACCAATATCTACCCATTTACTAAGTCAATCTGTCAGTATGACATGACATACTGCGGATTTGTTTGTCTCCAGTATTCAATTTCATTTCCTATTTCCTATTATTCATTTTGCTATTGGTTATATTTTATTATTGTATTATTATTTTTTAACAAACAGATATTGAATTTCACAGACAGGGGAAGGCAATTTATTATTGATTTTTTTCTATTAAAAATATATTTATTTTTTATTCAAAATTTTCTAATAATATTTGTATTTTTTTCTCTTTACAGAATCTTTAAAAAATTCCAAAATTTTCCCCAGTATTTTTTTATTAACAAAAATTCCCAACAAAATGGCAACTCTCGTGATTATCTACAACTCTTCAGCAGTATTCCTATTAAGTTAAGACACGAACCAATTGATGTTGCAGTCACTCGTCGTCGTTGCAGTCAAGTGAGCCATGTTTGGTCTCTTGAATACAACACAAATTTATGGCATTCAAACTCAAACGCAACAACAACCACAACATCATCAAGGACATGAACCACAACAACACTATCCAATAAGTTTTCATCCAGAACACAAATCATCCGATACATTATCCAGTTGTAATAATTCCAAAGGACATCATCGTCGTACGGCCTCATCAGTATCCGATACAAGCAGTTCGACAACAACAACAAATAAATTTTTCACCAACATAACCTCAAAAAGTCCCACGAATTTTTTAGAGAAATTCCTTAAAAGTGATTTACTCAATACCTATGATACGTTGAAAAATTATCGTAATAGTTTTCCCTCTACAAATAATTCCCAGACAACGAATAAAAGATATTCCGATCCGGGAAGTGCAGCAGGACAGGAAGGTTTTAGTTTCAATTGCCTGCATGGTAGCTATAGGCATAGTTTTGATGGTGAATTCTATGAAAAGGCTGAAGTGAAAGGCAACAATCACAACAACAAGAAAAAATCCCAAAATCCTATAGAAGAAGTAGAGGGTAATCCATCCTCCTCAATCAGCACTCGTTTGTGTTCAGTTCCAAATCTATCTAGTGAAATGACAATTAAATGTTCCAAAAACCTCTTGGCTGTTGAACCTGAGGTCCAAGGACCTGCCACTCTACAAAATTATCAAAAAATTCCCGAAAGTGAACATGACCTGTTGGTAGATTCATTACTGGTGGCATCCAGCGGTGCCAGTTCGGGAGAATTTAATAGCAGCAGTGATGCCACAACACAAAGTTCCAGTGGTGGTGGTTCCGGTGGGGGCTCCTCATCGTTTTCGTCATCCTCATCGAATCTGTATAAAAGGCTATCGTTTGGTGGTATGCGTAACTCACAGAAGCAACAGGAGAAGAATGGAGATAATTCACAGCAGCAACAGCAGACGGAGGGGGTAAGTAACAGAAAAATCGTTTAAAATTAAAAAAATAGAGTTAAAAATTCATACCTCTAATAGAGCCTTAAAATATTCTGTAAAAGTCCACTCCTCCTATAAAACATTGGAAAAAATTATCGAAATCAGGGTAGAGTTTTTGGCGCCCAAATCAAAAAAACATATGTTGTTAGGATAATTTTGAGTTGGAACCAATATCTCCCCTAATACTTCACTCTAGAAGGTTGGTTTCAAAATAAACTAAATTCTACATCGAATTTCACTACTGATCTCGGAACACAAGAAATATGTAGCTTTAATAGATATAATCAAAAATCAGTGTAGCATTTTTGGCGCCCAAACAAAAACAAGTATTTTAAGGTAATTTTAATTTTGTGCCAATATCTTCCTCAATACTTCGTTTTTAAGGGTTGATGTCAATGAAAACTATATTCTACATTGAATTTTACTATGAGTTCCGGAACACAAGAAATCGATAGCTATAATGGATCTCATAAAAATCGAGGCAGAATTTTGGGCGCCCAAACCAAAACAAATGTTTGCTATAATTTTTAGTTTAAGGCAAAATCTCCCGCAATACTTCATTTTAGAGGGTTTATGTCAATGAAAATTATATTCTATATCGAATTTCACTGTGGGACCCGGAACACAAGAAATCGCTAAATATAATAAATCCCATTAAAACTGAGGTAGCATTTTGGGCGCCCAAACCAAAAAAAAAAAACATTTTTTGGATAATTTTGAATTTTTTCCAAAATCTTTCTTAATATTTTATCCTAGAGGAACGGTGTCAATGAAAACTAGATTCTACATCAAATTTTGGCATAAGTCTCGGAACACAAGAAATCTGTAGCTATAATAAAAATCATCAAAATCGAGGTAGCATTTTGGGCGCTACATCAAAAAATAAGTTTTTTTTGGGTTATTTGGAATTTTTGACAAAATCTCCCTCAATACTTCGTTTTTGAGGATTGATGTCAATGAAAATTATATTCTATATCGGATTTCACTATGGGTCCCGGAACACAGGAAATCGGTAGCTAAAATTAATTCCATAAAAATCGAGGTCTAATTTTTGGCGCCCAAAAAATGTTTTGCGATAATTTCGAGTTTGAGGCAAAATCTCCCTCAATACTTCGGTTTTTGGCCATGATGTCAATGAAAACTATATTCTACATCGAATTTCACTATAGGTCTCGGAACACAAGAAATATGTTGCTATAATAAAAATCATCTAAATCGAGGTAGCATTTTGGGCGCTACATCAAAAAATAAGTTTTTAGGGTTATTTTTAATTTTTGACAAAATCTCCCTCAATACTTCGGTTTTGAGGGTTGATGTCAATGAAAAATATATTCTACTTCGAATTTCACTATAAGTCTCAGAACACAAGATAACTGTAGCTATAATGGATCTCATAAAAATCGAGGTAGAATTTTAGGCGCCCAAACCAAAAAAAAACTATTTGCGATCATTTTGAGTTTGAGGCATAATCTGTCTAAATACTTTATTTTTACATGATGATGTCAATGAAAACTATATTCTACATCGAATTTCACTATAGGTTTCCAAACACAAGAAATCGGTATCTATAAAAAATATCACTAAAACTGAGGTAGCCTTTTGGGCGTACCAATAAAAAAAGAAATACATTTTTAGGGGTAATTTTGAATTTTTATCAAAAACTCCCTGAATACTTCATTTTTGGACGGCGATGCAAATGAAAATTATATTCTACATCGAATTTTACTATAGGTCTCCGAACACAATAAATTGCTAACTCTGATAGATATTATCAAAAATCGAAGTAGAATAGGGCTTTCAAACCAAAATGAATTTTTGTGTTTATTCTAATTTTTGACCAAATCTCCCTCAACACTTAATTTTTGGGTGCTGATGTCAATGAAAATTTTATTCAACATCGAATTTCACTATAGATATCGGAACATAGGAAATCCATAGCTACGATTTATCTCATAGAAATCGAGGTACCATTTTGGGACGCACAAGCCAAAACATTTTTTTGCTTAAATTTGAATAATTCTCAAAATCTCCCACAATATTTCATTACATCGAATTTCACTATGGGTTTCGGAACACATAAAATCGGTAGCTTTAGTATATATCATAAAAAATCATGATCGCATTTTAAGCGCTCAAACCAAAAAAATGGTTTTGGGGTATTTTTAAAATGTTACCAAAATCCCCCTTAAAATGTCATTCTAGAGGGTTGATGGCAATGAAAACTATATTCTAAATTGAATTTCACTATAGGTCTCGGAACACATGAAATCGGTAGCTATAACTGATCTCATAGAAATCGAAGTAGCATTTTGGCGCTCAAACTTTAAAAATTGGGGTAATTTTGAATTTTTGCCAAAAATTTCACTATATTCTTCATTTTTCGACAATGATTTCAATGAAAACTATATAATTTACATCGAATATCACTATAGGTTTCGGAACACAAAAATCGGTAGCTATAGATGATCTCACAGAAATTGGGGTAGAATTCTAGGCGACCACTTTAAAAAATTAAGATCCCTAAAAACATGCCGTTTTTAAGCTCTAAAGTTCAATTTAGACTTTTCCTATCAAAAATAAATTTAAAGAGGGTTCCTGAACCAACATTTTCTCCAAATATACCAATACCCTACCAGTCCTCCTAAGGGTTCCAAAACGGCATTAAATTGAGTTGGAATATAGTATTTCATCTTATTTAAAGTCATTGCAATAAAATCCAATTTGAAAGCTAAACATTGGATTTTAGAGGTTACTCCTGAGGGAAGGATTGGAAGAGAATCATTCATGGAACATTTTTTCCAACTACACTGACCACCTCCCTCAAGTCCTTAGGGCTGAAAATTCAATAACAATGAAAAGGAACAATATGTAGTGAAATTGCATTTTAATACGCCTTAAAGTATGCAATGGTTTTTATGATTTGCTACAATAGTTTGGTTGGAGTAAAATGAGTTGGAATTAATGTAACAGGTTTTATTTCAATTCTAATAAAAATTAAATTATTAAATTATATTAAAAATTAAATTAGAAAATATTGAACAATAATTTCCAAACTCTCCATTTCACAACATTACAGGTTATTGACATTTTAATAATTCATTTGATAAACCCCTTGGGGTTGAACTGATAAAAAAACAATTATTTCCCATTAGTTTATTTTTTATTTTTGTTATTATTAAATACCTAACAAAACAATTAATAAATAACATAATGTTAACTTTTGTTTTGTGATAACAAACTGACAACGGTCATTACACATACAAATTATGGTGGTGTCTGAATTTATTTCGCGATAAAATAAATAAACTATGACGTTATAGCTGCTATTTGCGATAAGAAACCTGAAGAAATTGTCATTATTGAAATACCTCATAATTTATGGTTTGTTTACGAATAGATATATAGATAGAACATAAAGAACTTTGATATATAATATTGAATAAAAAATTATTAAATTGAGTAAATAAATAAATTCATTGGTCTGCTGCAGAACCTTTCATATTTAAAGTGAAAAAATAAGAAGGGTTATTTCTTTTGTGATTTTCCATGCAAAAGAAGACTTTGAAGGACATTAGTGTATTTGGGGAAAATACTCAGTAAAGGACACCCTTCAAATCTTTCTTTGGGGGGAAATCTCCAAAATAATGTTTTCATTCGGTAACCCCCTATTTTACAAATGTGTTTTAAAAAAGGTAATATGGAAATTTTATTTATTATAACCCTCTAATGATTTGATGATGGATTTTTGTCTAGAAACACTTCGAGGATTATATTGATATATTCGGGAAAACTACTTCTTAGAGTGTCCTCTATGCTTTCTTCTCTCGTAACTATGTAATAAAATCAAGTTTTATATTGCAAAACTAGATTACATACTTTGAGAATATTTGAAAAACGTAGAAAATAATAAATATTTTTCTTTCTATGTTATTTTTCATCCATAAGGATACTTTGCAGGATATTAGTGTATTTGGGAAAATTGATCAGTAAAGGATACCCTTCAATTCTGTCTTTAGGAAGAAATCTGCAAAATAAGGTTTGCATTCGATAACCCCTACTTTATAAAGAGCTTCTTTAAAGCTTATATGCAAATTTCCATTATATCCCTATTTCCATAATTATTTTTCATCCATAAGGATACTTTGCAGGACATTCATGTATTTGGGAATTATGTTCAGTAGAGGATACTCTTTGAAACTGTCTTTAGTGGAATAACTGTAAAATAAGGTTTTCATTCGATAAACCCCTATTTTACAAAGGTCTTTTTTAATGCTTATATGTAAATTTCCGGTATATCCCTCTAATGATTTGATGACGGGTTCTTGCCCCGAAGGACTTCTTGGAAATTTGTTTGATTTATTTGAAGAAAATGTTTCTTAGGGGGTCCTCTGCACTTCCTTCTCTCCGAACTAAGTCATAAAATTAAATTTAATGCCTTAAACCTGATCGCTATTTCAGTTAGCTTTTAAAACTACGAATGCTAAAAGAATCGTTCAACAAATTTATGGTAGTTTTTTTCCTCGAAGGTCCTTATGGATTAAATTGAGGTTTTCGAACAAAATATTGCTTAGGGGATCCTCTATACTTCCTTCTCTCGGAATTAAGCCATAGTTCTGAGAGAAAAACAAATACCAAAAATATAGGCCAAGACCTAAAATTTTATTTAGGAGATTTTCCCATTAATATAAGCTCATCTTGAATATTTGGTTATTTTCTTTGTATGCGATTTTCTGACACCTTAGAGCTGTGTACGGATGTTGTTGTTTTTACAAATAATATTTCTAAGGATATTCTCTTCACTTTTCTATTTATGAAGAAAATTGTAGATCCAATATAAATGGATGAAAACTAGCTTTTATTTCAGAGACTTTTACTATATCACACAAAAACTACTACCAATCTTTCTTTTTAGACGATTTTTCTGCCCTATGGAGGTCGGTTAGGATGTTGTTGTATTTACAAAAAATATTTATTGGGGAATTCTCTTCACTTTTTTCTTTAGTATGAAATTGGTGAAACAAAGAGAAATGTCTCAAAAATGTATTTTAATTCAGGGACTATTTCGATTTCCAATCTAAAACTGCACCCTTGCTTGTGGGCGATATCCCGACCTTATGTAGGTCGTTTCGAATGTTGATGTCTTTGCAAAAAATAGTCTACAAATGATCCTCTTTATTTTGTTCTTCATGAAGATATTTTTAAAATAGAGAAAAATGCCTTAAAGTCAGTTTTCAATGCAGCTACCTTTGCTAACTACACCCGATTACTGCTTTATTTCGTTGTAGACGACTTTTGTACCCTATGGAGGTTGATTCGAATGTTGATGTTTTTACAAGAAATATTCATTAGGGGATTATCTTCAATTTTTTCTTTAGTAAGAAAATTTTAAAATATAGAGAAATGTCTCTAAATGTTATTCTTTAAAATGGCCGTAGCTATCAACACAGAAAAATCGCTCTCTTTTCTTATAAGTGACTTTTCGACCATATAGAGTTCGGTTCGAATGTTGACGACTTTACAGAAATTATTCTTGAGAACATTCTCGTCAATATTTCCTTTTGGAAGAAATTTGTAAAATTGAAAGAAATGCCTTAAAATTGAATTGTATAATGTGACCATAGCTCGCTACACCCAAAAATGCTTTACTTTCTTGTTGGCGATTTTCCAAGCATAAGTATGCCTGTTCAAATGTTGTTGTATTTACAAAAAATATTCGTTAGAGTATTCTCTTTAATTTTTTCTTTAGGAAGGTATTTATAAAAATAATAGAAATACCCCAAAATGTCATTTTATTTCAGCGACCTTTACAACGTCCATCCAAAAACAGCTTCCTTTCCTTGTAGGCGATTTTTCGAATCTACGGAGGTCCGTTCGAATGTTGATGTCTTTAATAGAAGTATTCATTAGGGGATTCTCTTCAATTCTCTTTACTAAAAAATTTGTAAAATAAAGAGAAATCCCCCAAAAGTGTAGTTTATTAAGTGGTTTTAGCGATATACACCCAAAAACTCCTAATTTTCTGTATAGGCAATTTTTCGACCCTATGGAGGTCGGTTCGAATGTTTATGCCTATTACAAAAAATATTCTTTAGATAATTCTCTTTCATTTTGTCTTTAGTAAGTTATTTTTAAAATATAGAGAAATGCCTCAAAATTATATTTGAATTCAGTGACCTTTGCCATCTATCCACAAAAACGTCTAACTTTGCTTGTAGGAAATTGTTCGACCCTATGGTGGCCTGTTCGAGTGTTGATTTCTTTACTAGAAGTATTCATTAAGAGATTCTCTTCAATTTTCTCTTTACTAAAAATTTTATTAAATAAAGAGAAATGCCTCAATAGTGTACTTTATTATGTGGTTTTAGCGATATACACCCAAGAACGCATAATTGTGTATGTAGTCATTTTTTCGACCATATGGAGGTCGGATCGAATGTTGCCGTCTTTACAAAAAATATTATTTAGGGAATTCTTTTTAATTTTCTCTTCAGTAAGTTATTTTTAAAATAAAGAGAAATGCCTCAAAATTATATTTGAATTCAGTCTCCTTTGTTATCTATCCATAAAAACGTCTCACTTTGTTTGTTGGCGATTTTCTGACTCTGTGGAGGTCGGTTCGAATGTTGGTGCCTTTACAAAAACTATTCGTTAGGAAATTCTCTTAAATTTTCTCTTTAGTAAAAAATTTCTAAAATAAAGAGAAATGCATCAAAATTATATTTAAATTCAGTGACCTTTGCTATCTACCCACAAAAATATCTAACTTTGCTTGTAGGCGATTTTCTAACCCTATGGAGTTCGGTTCGAATGTTGATTCCGTTACAAAAAATATTCTTTAGGGAATTCTCTTTAACTTTCTCTTTAGTAAGTCATTTATAAAATAAAGAGAAATGCATCAAAATTATATTTAAATTCAGTGGCCTTTGCTATCTACCCACAAAAACGTCTAACTTTGCTTGTAGGCGATTTTCTGTCCCTATGGAGTTCGGTTCGAATGTTGATTCCGTTACAAAAAATTTTCTTTAGGAAAATATCTTTAATTTTCTCTTTAGTAAGAAATTTATAAAATATACAGAAGTTCCTTAAAATTTGATTTCAATTCAGTGACCTTTGCTATCTACCCACAAAAACGTCTAACTTTGCTTGTAGGCGATTTTCTGACCCTATGGAGGTCGGTTCGAATGTTGGTGCCTTTACAAAAAATATTCTTTAGGGAATTCTCTTTAACTTTCTCTTTAGTAAGTCATTTATAAAATAAAGAGAAATGCCTCAAAATTAGATTTCAATTCAGTGACCTTTGCTATCTACCCACAAAAATGTCTAACTTTGCTTGTAGGCGATTTTCTGACCCTATGGAGGTCGGTTCGAATATTGATTCTGTTACCAAAAATTTTCTTTAGGAAAATCTCTTTAATTTTCTCTTTAGTAAGAAATTTATAAAATATACAGAAATGCCTTAAAATTTGATTTCAATTCAGTGACCTTTGCTATTTACACCCAAAAACCGCTCCCTTCCTTGTATGGCGATTTTTCGAACCCTATGGAGGTGGGTTCGAATTTTGGTACCTTTACAACACATATTCTTTAGGAAATTCTCTTTAATTTTCTCTTTAGTAAGTAATTTCTAAAATAAAGAGAAATGTCCCAAAATTAGATTTTATTTCAGTAACCTTTGTATTTTATTAAAGGGTTTTAGCGATATACACCCAAAAACGCATACTTGTCTATTTAGGCAATTTTTCGACACTATGGAGGTCGGTTCGAATGTTGGTGCCCTTACGAAAAATATACTTTAGGAAATTCTCTTTTATTTTCTCTTTAGTAAGTAATTTCTAAAATAAGCATAAATGCCTCAAAATTTGATTTAAATTCAGAGACCTTTGATATTTACACCCAAAAAGAGCGCCCTCCTTTTATGGCGATTTTTCGCCAACACCGAGACATATTCGAATGTTGATGCCTTTATGAAAAATATTCTTTTGGAAATTCTCTTTAATTTTCTCTTAAGTAAGTAATTTTTAAAATGTAGAGAAATGCCCCAAAATTACATTTGAATTTCAATGACTTTTGCTATTTACACCCAAAAACCGCTCCCTTCGTTAATGGCGTTTTTTCGACCCTACAGAGACCTGTTCGAAGGTTGTTGTATTTACAAAAAATATTCATAGGAAGATGCTCTTCAATTTTTTCTTTAGTAAGAAATTTATGTAATTAATAGGAATGCCTCGAAATCTATTTTTAAAAATTGGCCTTTACTAACTTTGCCCCAAAAATATTTTTTGTTTTCGATTTTTTGTTATTAATATTTTAATAAATAAATATTAAATTATTTAAAATTATTTTTTCAATAATTCGGATTTAAATAAATTCCAAAAAATTTCCCAAAATGTCCATTCAAAAAATCATACCTTCTTCTAGTATTACCTTCCTCCCTCACAAAGCCTATTGGCAAACACATTGTTTCTTAACAACCGAAAATTTCCTTATTAGACCTGAAAAACATTGATTGTGCCCTACCAACCTTTACTGGCCTGCAATGCAGTTTTTTCCTGTTATTGTTGTTGCCTTACCCAGGCGTGTGTAGCGTGTGTGCCCTGGGATTTACGCTTATTGTCATAACAATGAATTTTTCATTCACCTAAACAAATTCGCAAGAACTAATAAGAATGCGAACAAGGCCTGTTCGCCTGTGTATGTGTGTGTGTTAGGAAGGGATATGTGTATGTCGGTCGAATGCCATATTCAAATTCTGAACTACAAATATGCATTGTAAAAACCGCCCATATCTCAATAACACCAACACATGTTCCGCCATTAAAACCCTCAATGCAGGAAGGTTGTTGGCCAGGCCATTGATAATAATAATTGGTATGGAGTACTGCTTGAAGCTACTACCTTGGCGATGATGGTAATTTTTGTTCGATTCATTCATTCAGTTAACAACTTCATGTCAATGGGAAAAGGTTGGCAAATTCCGAACTGAGAACAAAGGTAGCTGCCGAGCAAAACAAAAAAATAATCAATTGAAATGTTGTCGCCTATTCATTGATAACATGAACGAGCAAGCAACCATTTAAATCAATCATCATTCAATATTAATGTTCTGATATTTTATCTCTATTTTTGCAGGTTACTGACAACTCCACCCTCAGCTTGAATCTACTACCCAAAGTAATCGATTTACATCGTTCATCATCATCGAATTCTTCGTCAGGAGATTGTCTCTCGAAAAGAGAGCAGCGTAAAAAAGGAGCCATGACACCACAGCCACAAAAGACCCCGCTCTCACAATTACTCTCCTCACCCACCTCGCCCACACCAGGTAACCCAACGATCTCATCATCCACCACATCCACGTCCATGTCACCCCATGAAAAAGCCCAGCGCCGCAAACTACTCCAAATGCTCGCCCAGTATGATCAGCAAAATAAATTCCTTCAACGTGAATTAACCAAAGAAAAGCGAAGACGTTCCGAAGAACTGGCCTGCGTCGTCAAATCTCTGCTGTGTTTCGAATCAAAACTCAAAACAGATATGAAATCCGTTAATCAACGATTGGCCACCAAGGATGGTGAAATATGCCGTTTGGTTCGACAAAACCGTGCCTTGCGCAAGAAGTTATGTCGCCTACGACAGGAGGCCAGTGAATGTGCCCGCGATGAAGGTGTCGTTGAAGATGGTGATGCTGAAAATGATATGATGGATACGAAACTGTCCAAGGATTTACTTGATGACGATGACGAAGCAGCAGATGCAGAATGTCTAGTTATGGAAGCCCTGCAATGCATTAATTGCCGTCGGCAATTCTATGATATTGAGGTGCAAGAGACCGGTACACAGACCACAATTAGCCTGGCAACGGCAACTGGTGGCCTAACGGGCCTCAGTGGAAATCTGAAGGATTTGAGTGGCAGTCGGAATAATGGTGAGTAAATTGGAATTGATGAAAAAGTTTTTAATCGGTTTCCTCGATATTTTAGGGTTAGAAGGTACCGGAAGAGTTTCGAATGGTTTCAGAGGGATCGCCCACCAAGGGCAATTCCACTCAATGAATTATCTTCTAATCAAAGTAATCAAAAATAGTGGCAGAATTAATGCGGAATTTAATTAGGGCAGAAAACTTGTGGTCACCTTGGAGGGACCAACGAATTTCCCTCCCGGAATATTGTCCATCATGCTATGGAGAACATTTTTGTAGAACATCTCATCTGCGTAAACCCTTAAATGATGGGAATTTTTTAACCATTTCTTAAAAAGCAACAATTTTCTATTAAATTGTAAGGATTTTCGAAATCCACCCTATTCTCCTAAAAATAGGCATTTCACGAGGTTGCTTCTAATGGAGAAACTGTTCTCTACCAAATTCCACTATAAGTCTCCAAAGCAACAAAATCTATGGGACTAATAGGAACCATTAAAATCGTAGTATACTTTTGGGCTTGATTCTATTTTAGAAAAAAAAACAACATTTTCTATTAAATTGTAAAGATTTTCGAAATCCACCCAATTCTCCTAAAATTATCCATTTCACGAGGTTGCTTCCAATGGAGAACTTATTCTATACAAAATTTCATTATGAGTCTCCAAAGCAACAAAATCGGTGGGACTAATAGGAACCGATCAAATCGTAGCCTACTTTTGGGCTTGATTCTATTTTAGAATATATGAACAATTTTAATCAATTTGATAGAGTTACCCAGTTGACGCAATTTGAACCCTTTCCCGTCATGTGGCAAAGTTATTCCCAATGAAAGAATCTTTCTACACAACATTTCACTATTAGCATCCAAAGAAACAAAATCTGTGGGTCAAATGGGAACCATTAAAATTGTAGCCTACTTTTGAGGTTACCACCGCTAAACGCCTTTAATTGGGACGAACGCTGAATGTCTTTATTTTAGTTCCATTTAAAAATGTTTATAATCCCATTTTGAGACCCGGTGTGTTCAACAATATTCTGCAACACCCTATGGAGAATATTTTTGAATTTGCGGACTTCCTGAACCATTCCCAAAGCCCACAACAAATATTTGTCAAATTGTAAGGATTTTCGAAATCCGCCCAAATCTCCAAAAATTAGCCATTTCACGAGGTTGCTTCTCATGGAAGAATTATTCTACACCAAATTTTATTAAGAGTCTCCGAAGGAACAAAATTTGTGGGACTTATAGGAACCGTAAAAATCGTAGCCTACTTTTGGACTTGTTGAAATATATAAACAATTTAAATGAATTTGAAAATGTTATCCATTTGAGGCCGTTTAAGCCCTTCCCCCTAATTTTATTAAGTTGCTTTTAATGGAGGAAATATTCTACACAAAATTTAACTATGAGTCACCAAAGGAACAAAATCAATATGGCTAATAGGAACCATTAAAATCGTAGCCTACTTTTGAGGTTACAAAGTAAAAAATAATAGCTTATTATTTTAAGGTTATTTAGAAATTTTTACCAATTGTCCCAGAATCTGACATTTTATTGACATACTTCCAATGACGAATATGTTCTACAAAAAATTTCACTACAGGTCTTTGAAGTCACCAAATCGGTAGATACAATGAATACCACCAATATATCAAGCGCAATCAGGAAAATTTTTAAAAATAATAATTCATTTGAAGGGTTTTTCATTTCAGGCTATTTGACCCCTTCATCCGCATTTTATGGTGTTGCTCCCAATGGAGTAAGTGTTCTGCACAAAATTTCACTATGAGTTCACAAAGGAACCAAATCCAAAGCAACAATATCTTTTAGGGTTACTAAGAAAAATAATAACTTCATTATTTAAAGGTTATTTTTAAAATTCTTCGGAAATATCCCAAAATTTGGCATTTTACGGACTCACTTTCAATGGCGAAAATATTCTTTTTCACTATAAGGAACACAAGTTATATAGAATAATTACACTTCAAAACACCGTTTCAAATTGTAACAAAAAATAACACAAAGAATTATTTTTGTATGTATGGGGTTTCCGTTTGAGGCCAATTTGACCCATAATCCTTAGTTTTAGAGGGTTTTAGTTAAAGTAGAAAATGTTCTCCACTAAATTTCACTATAAGCCTCCGAACACAAGAAGTCGGTACATATAATAAATATCCCCCAAAAAAACTGTTCTAAATTGTATCAAAAAATAAAACAAGAAATTACTATTGAAATTGATAGGGTTTCCGATTGAGGCCAATTTGACCTATAGTCCTTAGTTTTAGAGGATTTTTGTTAAAGCAGTATTCTCCACTTAATTTCATTATAGGTCTCGGAACACCTAAATTTTGTAGATATAACAGAAATACTTAAAATTTTTGAAAATAAATTGTTATTAATTTCATATTTTTCTCTCTTTCCTTTCCAGACGATCCCACAACTGAACACGGCTCTTCGAGTGATGATACCGTTTCGTCATCGTTCTTTGGAGCCCGACGCAGTGTACGCTACACGAGCAAACGAACCTCTGGCACATTTCGTGATTATATGCGTTCGCGTGCCATGAACATCGACGATCCCTCACTTGAAGCCGACAACAATTCCGAAGAATATCCCAGCACTCTGAGCCGTGATGATTCACGGGAAAATATCTACTCACGGACCATTGAGCGTATGCATGGTGTTAAGTGTAATAGTAATGAAAGTGAACGTGACTCGGAACATAGTGGTGTAGAGACCAACTCGACATTGTCTTCATCGATAACACGTTCCAATTCAAGGGCTAGTACAAAATCATCGAAATCTTCGGTATCGAGTAAATCAATGAGCAGTAGTGGCAGCAGCAGTAATGCCATGGAAGAGGATGATGGTATATTTTCGCCCACACAAGAAGATGAAGATTTCGATGATGTGGAGGAGCAGGAAGGAAATAGATCTTTAAGAAATGAGGAAATAGGAACTTTGAAAATTGTCAGAGGCAGAGCCTTGGAGGCATTTTCCGAAGCCTCACCGAAACAGATTTATGAAACTTCCACAGATGATTGGTATGCCAGTGCCTCGGATCAGGAAGAAATGTCGAATGGTGGTGCTGTGGCGGCTGCCAAATCCTATGGCCATGGTGCTGTGAATCCGGTGCTGGAGTGTGTTAATCAAATTTTATTGCAACAATCGATGGAGGGTATCGATGATAGATCTCAAACACCCAAGAATTCTAGGAATTCTTTGTCATCAGCTCCAGCAGCAGTTGCAGTAGCAGTTACATCTACAACAGCGTTACCTAGACGTAGCTCTTTAAGTGATCGTAGAAATAATCGTAGCAATAGTAAATCGTCCAGCATTGATGGTGCTCTAACCTCAAATTCCCGTAACGGTACCTTGACCCGTAAACGTGTACATTTCTCCACCAAAAATAGTATGGTGCATGTGCCGCGCAATGATGAAACCGAAGATGAGGAAGAGGAGGCCAAAATGATCTCAAATCAATACCAGCTAACGGCAAGTGGCACCTCCGTGGCCTATATGACCCATTCACCACCTAGCAATACCAATTCGGAATCCTCCGAACGTTTGGAAATTTTCAATTATGAAAGTATTTATAGTAATGAATATGAACCGATTGGTTCGGAAATGAATTCCTCGAATTTATATGTGGATATGGATGCCACAACAGTAAGCCCAGGGGTTGGGGCTAATGGCAAGGTGGAGGGGGGGATTTCGTTGAGGACGGCAAAACTGCCACCAGCACTGCCACCAAAACCGGCAAATTTGTTGAAATTCAAAAAGTCCCTACAACAATTGGATGAATCGCCAGATGAAAACCTGGAGGTTGGAGGAGACCAAGAGGCAAAGGAAGAAGTTGAGCCTTTGGTGGAACCCGATTATTGTTCCATTTCCGAGGTAAATGTGGGTATAACCAGTGTTCAAATACGGGCAGATATCCACAGGGCTCCTCTCTCGGAAAGAGATTTAGAATCTGTGGTGGAAAATGACAACGATTTGGATACGGCCACCGTGGTGTCCGAGGCCAACTCCCAAAAGACTGAAGAAATTGAAGAGATTTTTGCCGATATACCAAAGTTACCCAATGTGGCGGCCATTATTGCACCGAAATCTGCCCTCAAACAGTCGAATGAGTATTTGACCATGACACCGAGAGGGGAAAAAATGATGCCAATGGTGGGTATTATGGCCTTGTCGCCAAATACCCCCACGGCCAATCAAATGCTAATGGTGGGGAGTAATAAAAAACCTGATCGTTCTGCATTGAAATTGAATTTAAACAACAACAACAACAACAGCTTCAATGCAACCCCAATAAAATCTGCCAATAAAAACAATACCCCCTCCATTCTCAGACCCCAATTGAGTTCGGCAAATTACCAACAGCAATACAAACGTAAACATATGCCAAATATTTTACAAGAGATCAATAAACGTATGAGCTTGCCCAATTCACCCATAACTCCGACACCCCCCTCCTCGACCTTCAACAAAAGTGCCACCATGCCATTTGGAAAATCATCGAATTCCTCCCCCAGCTTGGAGGCTTCTGAGTCGCTACACAGCCTACCCTTGCAGGCCGAATTTGATTGGTATAATTTGGATGCGGAATATGGTAAAAATTCGCAAACCGAACAGGGTAAAATCCATGGAGGTGGTAGTGATAACGGCGGACTTCTTGGTAATGGTGTTATGTCCTCCTCCCTCTTGGCCGATATCAAGGAGGATGGTGAAAGTTTAATTAACACAGCCGATGAGTACAATTTGGATGAAGAATATTCCGATGAATCTATGACAGCGGACCAGGCCACAGAGGGAAACCATCAGGAAGAGAAGGAGTTACAACTAAATGAGGCCATCAATCCGGTGGTCATCATTGCCCAAAATCATGCCAAGGCGAAAAAAATCAAAAAGAATTTGGCCAATTTTGAGAAATTCATTGAGACCAGCAGCAGCAGCAGTGGTGGAAAGCCGGCGCCCACAAAACGGAAAATCTATTTTGCCGGGCCATTTGTGTGATACTAGAAGGAACTTTTTTCTTTTTTTTTCAAAAACAATAAAGTTTTAAACTTGAATTGTAAAATCTAAGAAATATTGTAAAAAAAAATATTGTTTCACAAAAAATTATTATACAAAAAAAATTATAAGAAAATTGTAAAAAATATTGTTTCAAAAAATTATTATTATAAAAAAATATTATAATTTGTATCTTTAAAAAAAATCATTATTATTTGTTATGAAATTTTAAATTTAAACAATTACTTCCCCTTAGTTTTATTTTAAAAATTTAATTTTAATTCTAATAATAAGAAAATAATTAATTTTAGTTGCTCACATATCTTCCTAGTATTTTGAAAAATAAACTATTTTAAAAATAATTAACAAAGAAATAACCTAAATAACTTGAATTTTTTTATGACCTCAGAAAAAAAGAAAAATATTATCAAATTAACATTTTTGGGATTTCTGAATTTGGCTAATTTGACCCATAAACCTTCGTTGTAGGAGATTTTTGTTAAAGTAGAAATTATTCTCCACAAAATTTCACTATAAGTCTCCATAAACAAGAAGTCGGTATATATAATAAATACCCTTAAAAATCCCGATTTTAAATTGTAACAAAAAATAAAACAAGGAATTAAAGTAAATGAATTCCTCTTGAGACCAATTTGGCTCATAAAACGTAGGTTTAGAGGATTTTCGTTAAAGTAGAACATATTCTCCACAAAATTTTACTATAAGTCACCGAACACAAGAAGTCGGTATATATAATATATACCCTTCAAAACTCCGATTTCAAATTGTAATAAAAAAGAAAACAAGGATTTACGTTTAAATTTATGTTGTTTCCGATTGAGACCAATTTGACCCATAAAACATAGGTTTAGAGAATTTTTCTTAAAGTAAAAATTATTCTCCACAAAATTTCACTATAAGCCGCCGAACACAAGAAATCGGTATATGCATTAAATAACCTTAAAAATCCCGATTTCAAATTGTAACAAAAAAGAAAACAAGGATTTACTTTTAAATTTATGTTGTTTCCGATTGAGATCAATTTGACCTATAAAACGTAGGTTTAGAAAATTTTTCTTAAAGTAGAAATTATTCTCCACAAAATTTCACTATAAGTCGCCGAACACACGAAGTCGATATATTGAATAGATACCCTTCAAAACTCCGATTTTAAATTGTAACATAAAAGAAAACAAGGATTTACGTTTAAATTTATGTTATTTCCGATTGAGACCAATTTGACCCATAAAACATAGGTTTAGAGAATTTTTCTTAAAGTAAAAATTATTTTCCACAAAATTTCACTATAAACCGCCGAACACAAGAAGTCGCTATATATAATAAATACCCCTCAAAAAATCCGTTTCAAATTGCACAAAAAAAACAAGGAATTTTTTGGTTATATGATGTTTCCGATAGAGACCAATTTCACCCATTGAACATAGGTTTAGAGAATTTTTCTTAAAGTAAAAATTATTCTCCACAAAATTTCACTATAAGTCACCGAACATAAGAAGACGGTATAAACATTAAGTACCCTTCAACACTCCGATTTTAAATTGTAACATAAAATAAAACAAGGATTTACGTTTAAATTTATGTTATTTCTGATTGAGATCAATTTGACCTATAAAACGTAGGTTTAGAGGATTTTTGTTAAAGTAAAAATTATTCTCCATAAATTTTAAATATAAACTCCCGAACACAAGAAGTTGCTATATATAATAAATACCCCTCAAAAATCCGTATCAAATTTCACAAAAAAACAAGGAATTTTTTGGTTGTATGATGTTTCCGATTGAGACCAATTTGACCCATAAAACATAGGTTTAGAGAATTTTTCTTAGAGTAAAAAATATTCTCCACTAAATTTCACTATAAGTCACCGAACACAAGAAGTCGGTATATATAATATATACCCTTCAAAAAGTCAATTGCAAATTTCCTTTCAAAAATGAATGAATGCCTTTTATTAATTTGATTTGCCTGAAAGTATGCTTTAATTTTCTTTACAAAGCAGAACAGCCATTGTGAAATGAAAAAATTGTCGTTTTTAAGAAATGCATTTTTGTGTGATTTTTCATTTTCAGTTACTAGGCGAACAGCACCGAATAGTAAGTATATTTTAGACGAAGGTTGAATTCAAATGCAAATAATTCAGTGAATACTTAACCGATTTTAATAAATTTTACAGCAATGGTTAGAGGGAATTGTAAGGTTTTATTTCATGTTGGTAATAAATAAGGAAACTATAGGTTTATAAGAGAAAATCAGCATTATGTGAAAGTTGAAAGATACTTAAAATATCGACTATTTTTTTGATGGATATAACAAAGTAAACATTGTATTTGTTCGATTTACACGAAATTTTGCAAAGCGTATTGAATTGAGGTTAGAATCCTGTAATTAAATGTCCTAATGAGGACATTATTTAAAAAATCCCACGCCTATGAAAAAAATTATTTAAAAAATCCACGACTATGAAAAAAATTATTTAAAAAAAATCCACGCCTATGAAAAAAATTATTTAAAAAATCCACGCCTATGAAAAAAATTATTTAAAAAATCCCACGCCTATGAAAAAAATTATTTAAAAAATCCCACGCCTATGAAAAAAATGATTTAAAAAATCCCACGCCTATGAAAAAAATGATTTAAAAAATCCACGCCTATGAAAAAAATTATTTAAAAAATCCACGCCTATGAAAAAAATTATTTAAAAAATCCACGCCTATGAAAAAAATTATTTAAAAAAACCACGATTTTTGTTAAAGTAAAAATTATTCTCCATTAATTTTAAATATAAACTCCCAAACACAAGAAGTTGCTATATATAATAAATACCCCTCAAAACATCCGTATCAAATTTCACAAAAAACAAGGAATTTTTTGGTTGTATGATGTTTCCGATTGAGACCAATTTGACCCATAAAACATAGGTTTAGAGAATTTTTCTTAGAGTAAAAAATATTCTCCACTAAATTTCACTATAAGTCACCGAACACAAGAAGTCGGTATATATAATAAATAACCTTAAAAAAGTCAGTTGCAAATTTCCTTGCAATAAAGAAAAATGGCTGTTATTAATTTGATTGGCCTGAAAGTATGCTATAATTTTCCTTACAAAGCAGCAGCTCAACCAATATGAAAGAAAAAATTGCCGTTTTTACAAGATCAATTTTTGTGTGATTTTTCATATTCAGTTACTAGGCGAACAGCACCGAACAGTAAGTATATTTTGGAGGAAAGTTGAATTTAAATGCAAATAACTCAGCGAATACATAACCGATTTTCATAAATTTTGCAACAATGGTTAGAGGGAATTGTAAAGATTTATTCCATATTGGTAATAAATAAGGAAACTATTGTTTTATATGAGAAAATCAGCATTATGTGAAAGTTAAAAGATACTTAAAATATCGACTCTTTTTTTGGTGGATATAACAAAGCAGACACTGTATTTGTTCGATTTGAAAAAAATATGAAAAAAATTATTTAAAAAATCCCACGCCTATGAAAAAAATTATTTAAAAAATCCACGCCTATGAAAAAAATTATTTAAAAAATCCACGCCTATGAAAAAAATTATTTAAAAAATCCACGCCTATGAAAAAAAATAATTTAAAAAATCCACGCCTATGAAAAAAAATAATTTAAAAAATCCACGCCTATGAAAAAAAATATTTAAAAAATCCACGCCTATGAAACAAATTATTTAAAAGATCCACGCCTATGAAAAAAATTGTGTAAAAAATCCACGCCTATGAAAAAATTTATTTAAAAAATCCACGCCTATGAAAAAAATTATTTAAAAAATCCATGCCTATGAAAAAAATTATTTAAAAAATCCACGCCTATGAAAAAATAATTTTAAAAATCTACGCCTATGAAAAAATTATTTAATAAATCCACGCCTTTGAAAAAAACATTTTTAAAAAATAAAAAATTATTTAAAAACAACCCGTCTTGGAATCGCCAATCTAGGGGACTTCTTAAGCTCTGTTGATTTCCGAAAATAAAGAACCAATTTTTAACTGCCAACAATTGTAAATAAATTATACCAAAAAAATTACTAAGGAGAGGAAAGGAAAATTATTAAAAATCGTATTCATGAAAATGTGTAGATTCTCCCTACCTCAATAACACTTTTGAAAGCCTGCAATTTATCACTTTCCACCAAGGAATCAAACATTTGCAAAGTTTTTTTTCTATTTTTAATTGGGAGGATTGAGGGTATGATAATTTTTGGATAAAATATTTTTTTCCTTAAATCCTCGCATGACAAGGACTTGGAAAAATTCAGTCTCTAAAGGCTCATGACATAAAGTGAGGGCTTGGGGGTCCTCAATAGATATCGAGAGGCCACAATGGTCACCTCTTTTAGGAAATTATGATGTTAGAAATTTCAAATTCAATCTTTTTTGTTTGTTCTTCTTTTTTACAATTAATTCTATTTATTTATATATATAAATGTTCTCTTTTCTTCTCACGTATTATTATAATACAAAAAAAATAATGACTAATATATTACAACTACAACACTTGACTTTATATAAATGATGAAAAAAATACACAAAACATTGATTGATTTTGTTGGAACAACAATTATTTCTTTTTTCGATCCTGTGTACACTTCGGACAAAACCATTTGCCTTTGGGTTTGATGGTCAGGCCGACACATGCAAAATGAAACCATTCAATGGGACACTGGAAAAAACAACGAAGAAAAGTTTTTATTAAAGAAAAACAGTAAATAAAAAAAATTTATTAAGAAAAAAAATATTTTTTTAAAAAAAAAAACAAAATATTTTTTTTTATAAAAAAATAAAAAAATTTGTTTTATTAAAAAATTTTTTTAAAGAAAAAAAAATTTGTAAAGGAAAAAATAATAAAAATCGGCAATAAAATAAATAATTTTTTTTAAAAATAAAAAAATTGTTAAAGAAAATTCCACTTACATCTGGATTATCACAGCCAATCATTTCACCATAGGAGACTTGATGGCACAGACAATAGGTGGGTTCATTGGGATCCACAGGCATATCGAGAACATCACTGGGATGTGTGGCCGCTGTGTGACAGGATTCTTTTTCTGAATCATCCAAGTCGACATTTTTCTGCTTTAAAAAAAGTAAACGATCACAACAATGAAATCGCAAATAAAAAAAATAAATTTCAAAATCGATATTTTTTATGGTCCCCAGCTTCTTTAAATTCGAAATCAAGAATTTCAAGAGACACCAAACCCATTTGAAAAAAAAAAATATATATGGGTTTCTTAACAATTCTCTTAAATTCTTCTTGTTCGGAATTTTTCAGAAATAGGGTGGTTACATTTTTGGACTTAACATGCAGTATTGAGTTAATATTTTTTTTTTTGTTATGGATGGATGAATGAATGAAATGAGCTGTATAGTTGTTAAATAAAGGCATGAATAAATGAAATGAAATCCTGCAAGGACTAAAAATTACAAATTAGTAAAAAGTTCGGAAATTTACAAGGGAGAGATTCCCCGTAGAAAATAATCAATTTTAACAGTCTTCAAAAATTACAAATTACTAAAAAGTTCGGAAATATATGCCTACTCTTAAAAAGGGAGAAATTCTCCTTGGATGTTCCAAGCAATATTAACAGGCCTTCAAAAATAATTTAAAAAAAAACCACGTCTTATGTTAGACCCTAAAAAATTTGGATTAGAAGAAGTTCCACTGCTACTTAATGATCGGTAGCACATTCACAGCAAACTGTTGATAACTTCTAGCCAATATCTTGATTTTTTTAAAAACAACATGCCAATTTCCGATTATTCCAATATTTGCATTTTCAAATCAACTACCACCAAAGCATCATCATCATGGACCCATACTCAAATAATTACTAGCAACTTGTAAGAAAATAAAAAATAAAATTTGTATGTAATGAATTATGAATGAGAAGATGAATTACCTTTTGACCCCCCTTGCGTGTTTCTTTTTCTTGATTTACCTTCTGCTTTTTCTTTTTACCACCCTGGCCAGCGGTTGTGGCCGCCGCTGCTGTGGCACTATTATTGGCCTCATCATCCGAGGAGGTAATGCGTTTCTTTTTACCCACAGCCTTGGCGTCTTTGGTTTTTTTGCGGCCTTCTGAAAATTGAAAACAAATTAAATTATTAAATAATTTAAAAAAAATATTCTATTCATTACTTACTCTTAACTTGTGTCTCCTCGGATTTACCCCGTGTCGATGAGGCCTTCTCTTGTATTTCCCCCTCAAAGCGGGCCAAATCATTATCCAAGCGCCGAATTTGCTTATCCACCAATTCATAGGTTTGTATGGCCAATTGCACCTTATCATCACTGTATTCCTTGGCCTTGACAAACAACTGTTGGATATCGGCCAATCGTTCTTTACGCTCCTCTTCAGTCATCTGCGCGGAGCCATCGGCCAATTTGCGCATAAATTCCTTGGCATGATGGTCGATACTTTTCATTGCCGTCTGGGCACGATCATCAAGTTTTCGCATTAACTTGAAATTCCTTTCTAACTCAGTGGGTAAGGACTCTAATCCTATATTGGATAATACTTCAGTAGTAGAACGGAATGGAACAGTGGTAATTTGTTTTTATGTGTTTGGTTTTTTTTTTTTTTGCATTTGGTTGGTGATTTATTAACAATGGATGTGGATGATTGGTGGTAGGATGATGGTGGTGAATGGTTGGTTGGTGATGGTGTCGGAAAAAGGCAAATGGCAAGTGAAAACATTTGTTGTTGTTTGTTTGTATGAGACATTGTTGTGTATTGGTTTGTCTTTTGGCAATGGCTAGTCTATTTGATGACAAATTTGATCCATTTCCTCATTACTTACCATCCAAATAATTTTCCAAATATATAGCTGAGGACATGATGATTTATATATTTCTAATACAATTTACTTAATTTTTAAATTAATTTACTTATTTACTTTTAAATAACTTTGTTTTATACGCGAGAGCTTAGCTTGTGTTACTTTCAGAGCCAAGAAATAATAAAAACGTTCCATTTGCTACAAATGGGATAGGTATGTATAGGTTGACTTTTGTTTAGTCAATAAATATTAATTTATCGATTAATAAATCGATGTAGCGGCATTGATTTATATGGATAACATGCATTTTAAATTAAAATACATTAATTTATAATTAAAAATTAATTAGAATTAATCCTTATTAAATATTTTTATTATTATCACTTTTTTAGCTTGAAACAAATCAAAGATTTATCTTTGGTATTATGGGGTTATAATAATAAGGGAGTAGTAGATCGACTTTTGTCATTTTAATTGAACAGTGTTAAGGGCTAAGCAGAATGCTCGCGTTGAGCGTTTTTTGTTATCGCGTTAACGCACGCAAAAAGCTAAAATATATTTAACTCCGAAGCGCAGCGCACATCAACTTCGAGCGTTTGTGTTATCGTTTCCTTGTGGCTGTTGTATTTTCGATAACACATAACGCAACGGATGGCTCAACGCGAGCAATAACCACAAGGAAACGATATGCGTTTGTTTTATCGTTTCCTTGTTCAAATATAAATATGAAAAATAACCATATTTAAAATCTATAAAAATTTTATTAAATTTGTTAAAAAATAGATTATACAAGGTGTAAAAATATAGGTTCATTTATTGGTATGTTCCCGTACTGCAAGAATCTACTACTTTTTACAACGATAACGAATTTTCCTTTAACGAATTTTCCATTAAGACAATCAATGTATTTTTTTTTAAACAAATTTAATAAAATTTTTATAGATTTTTTATATGATTATTTTTTATATTTATTATTTTATTTATATATTTATTATTTTATTATATTATTTTATATATTATATATATATTAAAGAAAATAAATAGCACAGATTAGAAGATCTATGGGTGTAGGGTTATTTTTTTAAAAATATTTTTTAATTTATCTTTTTTAATTTATTTCATTTTTAAATTATTTTTAATTGTTCTTAATTCTTTATTTAGTTTTTTTTATTTTTAATTTATTTAATTATTTTTTAATTTAACTTTTTGATAGAGTTTATTTATTCTTACGATTTTTTTATTTATTTTATTTTTATTTTAAATTATTTCATTTTTTGATTTTCTTTTTTTTAATTTATTTGATTTTTATTTATTTCATTTTTAATATATTTTATTTTTAATTCTTCCCATTTAATTTTGTTTGTTTTTAATTTTTTATTTATTTAATTATTTATTTATTTTTAATTAATTTTATTTTTTTATTTAGTTTATTTCATCTTTAATTTTTTATTTATTCTTAGTTTTTATTTATTTATTTTAAACTTTTTTAATAGATTTTAATTTTTAATTTGTTTCATTTTTAATTCTTCTTTAATTTATTTCATTATTAATTTATTTTATTTTCAATTCTTCTCATTTTTTATTTTATTTTTAATATATTTTATTTTTTAATTTATTTCATTACTAATTTGTTTTTAATTAATTTTATTTTTTAAATTATTTTATTTAGAATTTGTATTATTTCATAATTTATTTATTTTTTATTTCATTGTCTTTGTATTTCCTTGTATTTTGGCCTCCTATTGGCAACCCTACACTATCATTCATTTGGCTTAGGCCGTTGTTACACCTAACACACTTCATTTCCTTTTCACACACTGACCTAATTGCCTAACGGCGTTTTTCCAACTCCTGTTTCTAATAAATACCGCAAAATGAGAGCGAGAGAGCATCATATGTGATGTGAGTGGCACATGTGTTGCTGCCACCGTTGTGGTTGTTGTTTTTGTTGTTATTATTGTCATACAACTCAGCTGTTTTTTAGTTGTATTGTTCTCACATATCTCTTGGCTAAAAAAATAAATGAAAATAATCCATTTCAGTTTTTATCACAACAATAACAGAGCACAATGTTGTTGGTCGGTCGGTGGGCTGCGAGAATATAAACAAAAACAAAGAATTTAGTTGAACGTGACATTTAGTGAGGCACAGCACACAGAAGAAATGGCATAAGTTGAGCGGAGTATTTTATTCTATTCTTTTACTTCTTCGCCCGTTAAGTAGACATAATTATCATCATAGACAGAAAAGTGTTTGTTTTTTTTTTTGTTTGTTCAGTCCACTAGTAGTTGTGCATGAATGGACAACGCAACGGAACGGCTCGTTTTGCAAACAAAAGACAAAACGGAAATAGAAATATTTTGTAGTGCAATTAATTAAATGTAAATAAACAAAAGCAACAAAGTGTTATAATAGCAACATATCATATTTTGTGGCCATAAAGCAATTACATAATAATAAAATAGTAAAGTAAAATAAAACAACAAATAAAAAATTGGCAAAATAAACAAAACAACAATAAAAGGTCGATAGCCACCCAAAAAAAGTGAGGTGGAGACAACATTGGGGCATTGTAATAATAATAAAACCAGCAAGGAAATATAAAGAAAAAAATACAACAGACAACGAACGTGCACAAAGAAGAAGAAGAGCCATCACAATCAAACCGACTGACAAAGTAGACGTAAGAAAATCTACAAATGAATTAACATACCTGACAGTAGAAAAAAATTGCAGCAATTTTTCGTGTTCCTTATTTAATTTTTTCTGTTGTTATTGTTATTCTTTCTTGTGTCACTCACATAAACCCCTTGGTGAATTCAATACAACAACAGCACATTGATCTTGTGCGTAGCATTATTGCAAAAAAAAAAACAAAAACAATAACAGACAAAAATAAACGTGCACAAAAAGGTGTAATTGTTGGGCATATTGTTTGTCGTGCGTGTATGTGTGTGTGTTTGTTGTGTTACGCGTGTTCATGAAGGGACCTTGTTGTGATTAATTAGTTGCAATTGTTGTTTCGCTTGAAAGGAGTTAAATATAAACAAAAATGGCAACCCTAGATATTTATACCCTGGCCTGGGAGCATTTTCGTCCTGGTAGTTCCCCAGTGGATTGGTGCGAAGAAAATTACTTAATATCAGGACACATTGCTGAATTTGTTAATACGGTAAGTACAAGAGGAGATTAAGTTGAAAACTATTTTAAAAAATTTCATTTGAGGGCATTTGAGAAGTAGTACGCATTTCACTTAGTACTGATTTGTTAACACATGCGAAAGTGAACAAAAAAATAGTCGTGGTAAATGTGCATAATGTAAAGTGTATTTAAAGAACAAGTGAAAAAGCGGTAAGTTTGGCGGTAAGTAAATATATTGACAGGTACTAGAAATGAAAATATAGGGAACATACCAAAAAGTGGACATATACCGACATATCTAAAAACGGATTATGTAAACCATAACACAAATTTTAGAAAATTTTAAAGGATAATTATTCCCTCAGCCTTATGGCTAATGAGGGTGTATACACTTTAACACGGTGAAAATGTGCCTCATCGAAATATTGGTTCTAGACCCCATGTTTCTTTGGACCAAATCCGTTTCAGAAAATTTAGATTTCATCCGAACTTTGCCCATCTTATTATTTCTTCCAAGCTTAGTTCAAATTATGGAACTTCCAATCAGGGGCTAGGTCTGAATGCGGCTATAGTTCATTATCGAACCTTACGTTCTAATTGTTTATCTCTCTATCCTCCGCATGTGAAATGATTACAAAAGAGTCTTGGAACCAAACTCAAAACGAGGAACAAATCAGATAACTATTTTAATATGAAAAAGGGGGTTATATGGGGACTACCCCAAAAAGGGGGGCGAATATTAAAAATGTTTGGTAGAGAGATTTGTTACCATATACGACTACAAATTACCAAATTGCAGCAAATTCGGTTGAAAAATACGCTCAAGAACCCCCAAATACCGAAAATTGGGGGTACCCTTATATGGGGGCTATCCGAAAAAATGGACCTATATTCATAATTTTTGGTGGAGAGATTTGGAACCTATTAAGAACCCAATGTACTAAATTTCAGCGTATTCGGTTGAAAAACGCGCTCAAGAACCCCCAAATACCGAAAATTGAGGGTACCCTTATATGGGGGCTATCCGAAAAAATTCACCTATATTTATAATTTTTTGTAGAGAGATCTGTTACCTATTAAGAACTCGAAATACTAAATTGCAGCCAATTCGGTGGAACAATACGATTAATACCCCCAAAATACTGAAAATTAGGAGGTACCGTTATATGGGGGCTACCAGAAAAAGTGGACCTATATTTATAATTTTTTTGTGGGGACATTAAGTACCCAATAAAAACCCAATGTACCATAATTCAGCGTATTCTGTTGAAAAACGCGCCCAAGAACCTCAAAATACCGAAAATTGGGGGGTACTGTTATATGGAAGCTTTGTCTAAACGTGGACCGATACATCCCATCTTCGAACTTAACCTGCCTGCAGACAAAAGACAACCCTATGCAAAATTTCAGCATCCTATCTCAATTGCTTCAGAAGTTAGCGTGATTACAACAGACGTAAGGACATGGCTAGATCGTTTTAGAATTTTACCCTGATCAAGAATATATATATTTTATAGGGTCGGAAATGAATATTTCGATGAGTTACAAACGGAATGACAAAATTAATATACCCTCCATACTATGGTGGAGGGTATAAAAATATATTTTAGGCGTTTAATTGAAAATATGGCTGGCAAAAGAAAACGACTAATCCATCAGTACTCCGAGAAAGATTTTACATGAAGTTCATCTTGTGTGACGCAGTTCAGCTGGTCAAAACCAGACCACCGCTAAACGACACTGAAGGTGTAGAATAAAATTCTACGGCGTTCAGTGACCGACTACGTTTGGTAAACAAAATCGATCAATGAACGACAATAATAAACATTGAACTATGTCGTTCACTCGTTCAGTGGACTGACTCGTTCAATTGAACTAGGTCGTTCACGAACGACACAAGACTAGAAATAAGGAATGGTACAAAATCCATTTTTGGTGCTAGCAAAAAGTATGGTGTTCCTCGATACAGGAATAAAAGGGCGTATTGCCGAAGGTTCCCGAAAGATGGGGCCCAAAACAATATTAACAAATGCCGAAAAAGCTCGGTTGGAAAAATGGTTATGGCAAAATGTGGATTTCCATTGAAAAAGTGTGATTTGTTGAACACGGTCCAAGCAATAATAAAAGATGATAATCGCCCCACTCTGTTTTCAAATAATAGACCTGGAAGAAAATGGTATTCGTTATTTATGATACGTCATCCGGGATTAGCGCAACGAGAAGCAGAAGGGATTAGCAAAGGAAGAGCTGTTGTAAAGGAAGAAAATATCCGAAAATGGTTTTCCTAGTTAAAGCAATATCTGATCGATGAAAACTGTTTAGATATTTTAGATAACGCGTCAAAAATATTTAACGGGGACAAAACCAATTTTTTGCATTTGTCCCAAAAAAGGAAAAGTATTTGCTCCAAAAGTATACCTCAATGTGTATTCCATAAATCGCGGCAATGGAAAAGAAACAATAACTGTTCTACACTATTCCCCGCTTAATTACCTCCACGGTTAATTAATCCGATTTCAAAATACCCAGTTATTTTCAATACAGTCACTTACAAAATTGCACGTTTAATTACCCATTTCATTTATTTGCCCCTAAATAACCTACCCCAAAGTAACCGTACCTTTAAATCTGTCCCATGTAATTACCCAATGTATTTTTTTAGATCTGGCAACTTCAATTAGAATGGCTTACATTTGCTAGTGCACTTGCCACACATGTGCACATAAAATCTATTGTTTTGAAAGTTTTCGTGAAATGTCTCCCAGAAATACATATTTGTCTATCAAACTAAAGCACCAGTTAATATCTCAAGCAGAAAAGAAAGAAAAAAAAAACAAAACACCAGTGTCCACCGATATTTATCCTTGCTGGGGTTTTAACCGGGGTTCTCGGATAATTACCCTAGCGAGGTAATTAACCGTGTTCGCTTAATTACCTTCCACGGATAATTACTCAAAAATCTTGAAATTTTCACGGAGGTAATTAAGCGAGGTTTACTGTACTTGTCTTTTCGGCGAACTGCAAGACAGTACACCCAATGGTAGTATTCCCCTATGTGCGGCCACCAAAGGACGCTATTAACAGTATGCCTGAAAATTGGTAAGTCAGAAACCTGCTGGATGGTATCTGAAACATTTTTTTAATATATAGTAAATGAAGTGAACAATTGGCTTAATGAAAACCAGGTGCAACGGCAGATTTTGCTTTTTATTGATGGTCATAAATCTCATATGACAATGGAATTAAGCCAGTTTTGCCAAGCAAATGGAATTATATTGTATGCACTACCTCCAAATACGTATTTAAGCCACTGAAATCCGAATGGAAAAAGACCCTTCTTAAAATGGTTCTTACTAACATAGATATTAAAACTACAAAAAAAAAAAAAACAGGTTTCAGAAATGTGGGCTAAATCCTTTTAATCCAGATACTGTGGATTATACTAAATGTGTCAGAAATATATTAGAAGGGTTCAATAACGACCCAATGGAATGCGATTCCATTGAAAACTATCCTAAAGAGCAGAGTACAAATTCAGACATCGACGTAACTATTCGCACAATAAATTCTATAGCTTCAGCTTTGGAAAGGCGTGGAATTAATTCAGGAATAATAATCGATGAGCTAAAATTGTTAAAATGTAAAGAAAGGACTCTGAATATTCATTTATAAGACGATGTTACACCAGGAACATAATTATCTATGGAGATTTGGAATTAGAAAGGTATGACGTTTCTGCCGAAATCACAACTAAAGATAACATGAACTTTGTTAAAACTCTCGATTGCACATTTGAGATTTCCACAATTCCCGACATGGTCCAAACTTCCGTTACTAGCACCACTGTTGATATTCACGTTCAGGTATTTTTTTTTTCAAATAACCTATTAGAATTACATATTTTATAAATATAATTTTATAAATATAATATATGGGTCGGAATAAATACAAGTTATCAACGTACGACATTTGTAAAGCCACATAGCCCAATATGCTTGATGAGCCGCTTAACCAACGGCGAAATGCGTCGCATAATGGTGGGTACGTAGGTTCTTCTCCTGGCTTTCCTTTTCATTGCAAAACTTAGATCATCAAGCTCGACTCGAAAGAGTATAAATAACCACTTAAAATAATTTCCGTAGATAAAACATCTTTATTTTCCATCACCGACGAAGTCTTCACAATCCAAAACTAAACTTAAGGTCCCAAGCGCAATATCTGCGTTAGCTTGGAGAAAACTTATGCAATCAAAGGAAATCAAAGAAGAAAATTAGATGGCAAAGAAAAAAAGGACCGACAGGAAGTCACCGAAAAGAAATATGTGCTACTGTAAAGAAGATTTGGACAGCGACGCTGATGATGATGCATTAGAGAATGTGGGATACTTGTCCTAATTGGTTCCACCTTAAGTGTACATCATTCAAAACCCTACTGACGAGTTTTTATGCTTTTTAAAAATCCACACCCTTTGAAGGACCCTGAAAATATATATATTAAAAAAATCCACGCCTGAGGGTAGCTGTCTCTTTGCAAACGTTCTTCCAAGCGCCACTTGACACATATATTGTCAAATTACATTTATTTATATTCGTATTAAATGACAGCTGCTGGTGGCTGCATTCCGTTCTCTAAATATAGACGTATTCTTGCCTTCAATTGATGAGTGTTGATGAATTTAATTTAATTTTTTTTAGTTTAGTTGTGAGTTCATTGTACGGTAATTTTCTATATATGAGCCGGCCAATCAATTTGTCACTTGCGATGACAATGTGCGATTTTCTATTTATTTATTTACCTTGTTAAACCTTGACCTCAAAAAACAAATTTTGTAAGATTTTTTTGTTTGTTTTGATTTTTGTTAAACTATTTTCATTTCATTTAAAAATCGAGCGATAGTATATTTATGGTGGCTCGTTGTGATTTTATGTGCATGAACTTTGTGTGTATGAAAAAAAAAAATTAAATTAAATTGAGATTTTACTACTATTTTTGGGGTGATGGGAATTAATGAAAAATATATATTTTTTAAAA